TGGAATATGCTTGCCATACCTGCAGAAATTTTAGGGCCTTCTGGAACAAGGGTCTTCTGCTGGGATCAGGGCTTAATTCACAGGATCTCTTGTGCTTTCACTGGACATGGTATTATTTGAACTCAGGTTTTATTTTTTGCAGGTTTTGTGGGTTATGATATTAAATATATCTTCAGCAGTTATCATAGTGTTTTATGAGGGATGCAGTGGCAGTTCTGTTGATATGTGGGATACATGAAGTGTCATGGTTGCTGCAATCTGCATTTCATGAGGACTGCATACTAAAAATCTCTTCTTTTGAGAAGGAAAACAACTAGGATATAAGTTAAATGTGGTTGATAAAAGACAAGACTCTAATCAGTGTTTATATATATGGAAAAAGTGGGAGGAAAGGAAGTACATAATAAAACTAAGATTACAAGCAAGGCAAGAATTACAGCACATCTCCACACACGAGTGAAATTGTTTATCATGTAATCCTGGGGACTGGTGAGAATCCAAGGGAATGATAAATGTGGTTTGTCTGTTTTTTCTTAAAGTCAGCATCTTGGGACTTCGTTGTAGCATACAGTCGGCAGGATCATGGCAGTCTGGGTTGTTGTTGGATTTAAAATATCACATTCATCACTGTATTCAGTTTTCATTGTGCTTTTATATACTTAGTGGTTAGAAAGGCATTTACCTCTGTTTTGAATCTATAAGGAGTTCCAAGCACACCATTACTGGAAAATTATGTAAAAGTCTTGACAAAAATGGGTAAAACCTAAGGGTCTGTAGATGTCCCGCATTTTAAATGTAGTAAGTGCCCAGGACTTGAAGCAGATGTGTTGTATCAATTGGTGCTTGGCAAAATGTGGTAAGGGGTTGAAGAGGTTCCATAGAAGCACTTGGGATAATAAAAATAAATAAAAAACAAAACTTAGTAGATAAACTGAAGGGAACATGTATTTCTTTCAATTTGTAAACATTTGTTCTCATTTCCATATTGGCATTTCAACTACATGGAAAGAGAAGCATGTGTGAAGTGTAAATACATGGTGAATGTTTTAACAGGGAAAATACAGCATCCAAAGAGTTTTTGGGGTATTTGATACCACTCCATAATGATGCATTATTGGGTTCTGATGCCATTCACCAACTTCGTAATTGTTCAGAAATAATACATCGATGCCTGTGCTCAGAGCTTTGTAACCTTAGTTAGTCCTTGCATCATGAGACAGGTACGGTAGTAAATCCTACTATAGAGGTGTGTCTGATTGGGGCTGCATACAGTCCCAAGGCACATACCCAAGGGTTGTGCATGCTGTGTTGTATGACATCAGACTGTGCATTTAAGGTGCCCGTATGTCTGACCTTAGCAGGAATTCTGGGTGAGGACATTGGTACCTGTACTGTAAAAGCCGCCTGCCTGGGGCAAGCAAGGTGGAACTGTGTCTGGTACACCTGCATACTGTGTTACAGGCACGTGCTCAGCTCCACCAGGTGGAGTGGAAAGGCTGCTTTTAACATAAGGGACAAATAAAACAATATAGAGAGTCATAGTGATGATATAATAATGCTAAAAGGTTTTTCTGAGCTCTTTTAGAGACAGTGGTACAGGCTGATGCTTTTAGCCTAAGGCAAGCCAAAGGGATATGTATTGAGAAGAAGAATGGAAGGCAACAGGTAGAGGTAAGATGAGGTGGAAGGACTAAACATTTCACCTGTGCAGCTGGAACTAACCACAGAACAAGGTTAGGCTGGTTTAGGTAACCAAAGGAAAACAAGGCTCATGTTGAGATGGAGTCCTGGCAACAGTACATCCATTTACTGTATTTGTAACATACATTTTTTGGTTGGCAATGGTGTAATACAGTGGTGGGCTCTGGTCTGTGTCAGGCAGGAGCATACCCCCTGCTCCTAGGAGTTTAGCTGTGTGCTCAAGGCTGGCCGGCTGATAAAAGATGCCTTGGTCAGCCTGGGAATTTTCAAGAGAAGGAACCTCAGCAGGAGCTCCCCAACTTTTTCTTGGTAGATGTTTTTAGACTGAGACTCTTGCATGTGACCCCTGCCTGAGCTGTAACACCTGTGGCTTGACTGTGCCTCTTCTTGGGTCCCACAGTCCTTGTGTCCACTCTTGCTGGCCTGGACCAGTGCTTCTTCCCTCACAGCATCTGAGGTACAGGCACAATTGAGCTCTGTTGATCTGGCCACCCATTACTGCCTTTTAAGATCCTACATCTTATCAAAATTACAGTATCAAGATTTTTTCTATTAATTTTGTAAAATCATTCTGCTTACCCATTGGCTTCATGCCATAGCTGTATCACATCATTCTGAGCCATTTGATACGCTGTGTAGTTGTTATTTTCAGTAAAGTTTTTTTCAAAGTCAGGCCCTTGTAATACTTTTTTTTTTTCTCCCTGGAATTGGTGGCAAGCTCTTTTTTGTCTCTGCCTTACAGCTGGAGGACAACAGTGAATTAGTGCAGTGTATCCCAAGCAATAAAGTATGTGAAGGGCAATAGCAGAGAGCTGTAGCCATGACAGTCTAAAAAGAAAAGTGAGGCTGGTCTCTAGGAAGGTGAAATATGTTGTCTAAGGCCTGTCTGATACCATGAAAATGAACATATATCTTAAAGATCTCAGGGCTTCCCCAGATCAGTGTGGAGTACCTACATAGCTGAGGAGCCACACTAACAATTTCTACTGGCTTTAGCAGCCCTCCTGGATCAGATTTAGAAACCCTCTAACCTTAGATTAGGTAAACTACCTCATAGTTAATGACTTCAGCCTCCAACTTTAGTCTGATCAGTGCTTGAATAAGTAAGGGGTAGTGATTGGAGCCTACTGACAGTGTCCTTGTGTCTGTGCAAAGAAAATTTGTGTATAGTCTGAGGGCTTATTTCATCACTTCTTATTTAGAGCAGTATCTAAGAGAGTGTTTTGCTGGAGTAAGAAGCTCAGCATGAGAGTCTAATAATGCAAAACTTGAAAGATAATGATTTTTCTTACAGCAGTGACACATTACATAAATAAAACACTGTGTAATCCGGTAAGATAATAGTTTTCTCAGAAGGCATGTTGCTGCCAGCTGTTCTTTATAAAAGGGAGGTTTTTTATATGGTTGCTGGGAAGGGAACTTCTCCAAAACCAGCAGCTGGCAATGGAAGTCTTCATCTCCCCGTCTGCAGACTGCCCCTGAATTTCCTGGCTTTGTGGAGACCCCATGGCTTGCCTCTGGACTTGCATGTGCTCTGGATGCTTGCACATGCTACTTCTCTGGTCTGGCTCTCTCGGAGGCAGCAATGCATTCCTGGTGACTTGATCAGAGATGTAAGTTACAGTAGAAAATATGGCACAAAACATCATTTTGGATTGAGGTTAAAATGAATATTTCTTTCCTGTTTCATTGTTCATTGCCTTGAGCTCCTGAAGTGTATCCATTTTGCAAGCACTGGGGAACCAGGCTTAAAAGACACTCTTTCTTTTAGGTAACCTCTTAATACTAGATGAAAGATTTTAGCCCGTTTTTTCTGGCATAGTGTCCTGTTGTGACCAATGCAAATACAGTAATTATGGCTTGCCTGAAGAATTGTTATGCCTGAAATTAAAAATATTTCCTGGTTGTACTTTCCTCTTCTCGTTATAACTTTTTTTGATGTGGTATAACTGCAGCCAGTTGTCCCCTTGTATGGCTCTCCTAAATCCTGAGTATATGATGCCCAGCTGTATGTCCAGTCATCATACTTGTTACCAGGTCTATGACTTGGCATGGGATCAGTTTTCTGATACTTGATGTGATCAGGCATTTGCCTGCCCTGAGCATCCCTGAACACTGCCCATTGCCAGAGCTTGAGTTTCTGGGCCCTGACAGCTGCTCAGATTGGGTCATTTGGACTCAAAGAACACGCTGTGTTCTGGCTTGGTCCCTCATGGGACACTGGAGTTACTGAGGTGGCAGCCATGCCGCATAGCAGACCTGCCATAGGTGACCAAGCTAACAGCAAATAAAGAATCAATTAATTGGTCTTTTAGCATTGTCCTTTATAACCTGCAGAACTAAAATTGCTTTCCTGACTTTAAACATCTCAATATAATTTAAAATTCTTGCCAAAAATAAGAACCACTAACTTGTGTCTCAATACTGAGTTTGAAAATCATATCCTTTCATAGCAAATCTCTGTTATTTATAAAAAGTAATTTGTCAGGAAATGTGGGGGTTTTATGAAGAAAATACAACACTCTATTTTCATCTTTGACCCAGAACTATGAAGTGAAAATAATTACTCTCTAGGCAGATTGATTTGAAATGTTCCTACAGGAGACTTAGTTCCTACATAGTGATCTATGTATAGATTGCAGAATGCTGTAGAAAATGGAAGGATGAAATGCATTAAAGGCTCGGCTCCTTCACTGGCTACAGACATACAAAGGCATTTTAGCTTAAATAATCTTTTTGGGTTTTGTAGCATAAGAAAAAAAAAACCTAAATCCCCTTGCTAAAATTAAGATGATCTCCATACTCAGAGCCTGTGGAGATCACCCTGGGTCTATGCCCTCTTCAGGCGTTCAGTTAAACATTTGCTGATTTGTTAGATTCATTCCCATTTAACAAGTAAACTTAGGATCGTTACTTTTCATGAAATCCATGGATTTTAAGCTCAGACAAAATTAGGTCTCTCCTAATTTTCTTTTCTTTATCCTAATATTTACCTAATTCAGCCTTACCTATCTTACACTGGCACTGTTTTGTGAGGTTTAGTGGCTCATACAGTGAGCCCAGGAGCAAAGGTCACTCAGCACAGTGCTCTTGGCAGCACTGGAAATAGAGGTGGGAGAGCTGCACTCTGACAGTGTCTGGGTTGCCCTGGCACAGCAGGGCTGGTTTAGCTTTGTGTCTGCATCCAAGCTCAACGAATGAGTGTTGTTTCCTTTGAACTTCCAGTGCACTTGGTTATGGCCTCTCTTTCCAGCCTGCATTTTGATCTTCCACACATTATCTCTTCTTTTAATGCTCACCTGCTATCCTCTGCTGAAGCCGTCTGTGCCTGAGCTCTGTACTGCAGGTCAGAGAGATCTTGCATGTAAGAAATCACTTACACTAGCAATCATTGTGTATTTATATCCACACATAACCTTAACATTTCCTGTTTTGCAGTAACTTTATAAACAATATTCTTTTCTGTTTCAGTCACTTTTTTGCATTTGAGACCATCTGCTAAAAATAATTTCTTAAAACTTATGCGTGCACTACCATTTCCTGGTTTTAGCCTGATGCAGCCCAACCCAGCCAGAGGGCATTACTTCTAGATTATAGTAGTCAGCACAGGATCAAATGTTTGGCCTTCACAGAGACCACAGTCCTGCAAACATATTTTTTTCTCTTTTTCTCTGAGATGTCTGAATTACCATATGCAGACTCCGTCTGGTGTCTGAGCTATATGGGCCTCTGAGCAATCTGTTGTGGTTGAAGAAGTCGTTGCTTACTGCAGGGGGTTTGGACTAGGTGAACTTTAAACATCCAGCCCAAACTATTCTATGATTCTATATAGGGCAAACCTGGCAGGACAGTGTTGATAGAGGTTGTGATAGAGGCAGAATTTAGTCAGAAACAGTTAGCTTTATCCCTATGGGTGTGTATCCATCTGTCCACCTGTACTTTAGCCATATGTGGATTTCACCATATCCCCTTGTCTCTATATAATCCTATTAATGCTATTTCCCATAAATTGTAAATGCACTGAGATATGTTCACAGGTCTTTTTCTATACTCTTGTAAAAGTAATTTTTAACACCTTATGAACATTTCTTTTTAAGCTAAAGGAATGTTTCCAACTGCAAGAAGCAGTTTTATTTTTGCTGTAAGGGAAAGCCATGAAGGTCTGTAAAAAGCTGAGTAGGAAATAATTCTCTACCTTACAGCAGGCAGGGAAACCAGCTGGCAATCATGGCTCAAAGGTCCCACAGTTAACAATCTTGCAGGCTACAGTAGGCCTTTTTTTATATGTAGGTACAACTTCCAGTCTTCAGAGGATCTCCGTGCCCTCAATCAGTTGCCTACAGGAGGGAGAAAGTGCACATGTGATCTGTCTCCATCCAAAGCCAAGCTCTGCTGCCTCTGCCTTGTGCAGGGCCATAACAAACCCAGGCACCTGTTTCCAACTGACAGGCTACACTCACTCAGCTCTTCAAAAAGTTGTTCTTCTCAACGGAATTGCAAATGCCATCAGTTCTTGACTAAGTAGCCTCTAACTGGTATTTTAGGAGAGATGAAAATATCATGGAGCTACATTTATTTAAAGAACATGTGTCCCAGCTACAAATGGCCTTTACTTTTGAGAAAAAAGAAGTCAGGAAACACACTGTCAGAAGTGACAGTGTTAGAATTGACTCCCTGAGTAATATCTTTTTGTTTTCTTCCTTCACTGTGCCAATCTGAATCCTGAAAACATTCCAACATTTTGCAATCTTTATGATTTTCAGCCTATCCTGCTCCTACGCTGTGGGAGGATGAGCTGAACCTTCTGCAGGTGCCAGCATGGCAGTGGATGCCAGCAGTGCTCCATAAAGCTTTGTACTGTATCCCATCCCACCCCGCCCCATCCCATCCAGAAGAGTGGTACCAAGCACAGAGGACACTGCAGGTGTTCCTTGTCCAAGTGGGGCCATCAGAAAGACTGAGCAGAGCAGAGCTGGAAAGTACACATCTGTCCTTGTCATGCTGTGGCTACTATTTGCTTCCTCACAATTAAACTCCCACTCAGATTTAGGAGAGCCTTACTGAAAGATCATGGATCCCACGCTTTTCAGATTGCACAGAGCCCGACAAGGTGGAAACTTGAGGTGAATGTTACTGGTTATAAATATATCTGGCTTTTGGTTTGTTCTCTGTATGTTTGGCAGCAATGCTTTTAGCTACCTTTGAAAATGTTGTCTTTCTGCATGATAGTAAAATGGAAACTGCACTGTGAATTTCTCTCTTTATGGTAATACTTACATATTTTGTTCTCTTCCATCAAACAAACTGCTCAGAGCAATAATCTTGCTTATTATATTCCTGAAAACTAAAAATTTTAACAGGGCCAGTCCTATACATTAACCTACTGGGAACAAACTCCTGGTATGCGTTCACTAAAATAGCTTCTTTCAGCTCTTGAGGGCTGAGTAGAGCCTGGAGGTTTTGTGAAATGCCTCCCTGTCTGTCAGGGCCCATCTTCAGCTGACACCAAGCTATGCAGCCACAAGTTTGTACCCTCGGTCCTGGAGATGCCCTGGCAGCTTCCTTAATTTTGCAAAAGGGTTTTCAAGCTTGAGCAAGCAAGGCCAGGGCAGAGAAGGAAGGAATGGTGGTCATTAGTACTTCAGTTCCTCTCTCGGGCCGGAGGCATTTGTGTTGTAGCTGCCAAAGGGATTTCATGGATGCTTTCTCCTGGGCAGCAATGTCCTGCAGGGCCAGGGTGACATCCTGCACTGTACAATGATGCCAAGCTTGTGTGTACCTGCCCAAAAGCCACATATTTTTTGTCCAGATGGGGAGTTGGCTGGAAGCAGATGTAGAATTGTGAGTTGTTGCTGTGGCAACCCTTGTTGGCCTCCCCTCCCTTGTGATGGATGGAGATGCTTTCATCTAGGGAAAGAGTTGGGGGATGAAGGGCCACAGTTGTGTTCTTCCCTTTGCTGCTATTCACCATACAAGTCCCTTTTGCCAGCTCCCAGAAGCTCCCCTTTCCTCCTTCCCACTCTCCCTTCTTTTTCCTCAAAGGTCTCATCAAGTCTCATGCCAGCAACGTTTGATTTGAATCAATGTTATTTCTACAAAGAGCTTCCTGCTCCTGTTTAGTGCTTAAGCCAATAAAGAAGCTAATGAAAAAATATCCATAGAGAAGCACTCTAGGTATTTTTGGCTCTCTGTTGTTAGTCTGTAATGCCTCTTGCCAGAGGAGCTCTGGGTACTTAGCATGGCAATTCCCCATGGCTGCTTGTGATTATTCCCACTGTATGGATGAGGAAGGTGGGAGGCAGAGCGGATGCTCCAAGCACAGCCTCTGCTCTGCCTACCCTCATGCCTCTGTCTGAAGTGAAGGGGACAAGATCCCCCATGAGCACAGTCAGGGCTGAGAGGACAGGACATGGCTGGCTGGGGCGGGCTCCCTGGCTGCTCCCAGCGCTTGGTGACTCACACAGGAGGGTGAGCAGAAGACTTCTTTATCCAAGTAATATGACAGAGCTGAATAAATGGAGAGCAGATATTTAGTTAAGGAGGTCAGGGTGCTCCCAGAGTGGAAACTTCTTTCCAGGACAAGGAGAGAAGGCAGACAACGGAAACAAGAGCTGTGAGGTGAAGAGGATACTGCATGCTGGCTGAGGAAGAACTGGTGAGGGAGAGAAGAAATGGCTCTCAAGAGGAATGGCTGGTGAAGAAGAGGCTTTAGGCATGCTTGAGTTTGGAGGATGATGGCAAAAACTTGATTCCTTCTCTGTGGAGGGGAGCCTGGCTATGAGGTGGGGAGCAGGGAGTTCACTGATCCTGTCATCCTCCATCACTATCTGATTTGATCACACTGAGAACTCCACTGAGCTCTCAACAAGCCTTAAGGAAACTGTAAAAATTTTAGATTTTATTGTTCTCTGATTATTTTTTCTAATTCTTGTTACCCTGTTTGAATGCCCTTCTCAGAAACTGAGTCATAAAAATGGTAATTAAATTTTAACTGAACAGTTTCTCCCTGTCTGCTGCCTTGTGGTTTGCAAAATTACTTCAGCAGACTGATTTTGGAGTGGGGTGCTTTGTCCTATGACATAATGCTCCAGTCCAGGTGATTCTGTGTACTTGCCTTAGTCCTTTCATCTCATTACAGTAAAATGAGGTTGTCCCATTCATTTCAGCAGGTGCTGGTTGCAGTGCCCAGACACATGCCAAGCATGGAGTCTCCCAGAACATTACTGGCTGACACGGGCATCTCTCACCCTTTTCAGGTATCAAAGATATTTGTCCCCTGCCCTCAGTGTAAAGTTGTCGGGGTTGACAGAGAACCTGTCAGCAGCCTGGCATTTAGTGACGAGGAATGTAAACAACTCTAAGGAAATATTTACTGTAATGCCAGACGGAACAAACATGATGCAGCCCAGACCAAAGGTCACCAATCAAAATGTGCATAATATCACCAATGACAGCGTGCACAGTGTCCTCAGGTCACCAATGACAGCAAGCACAGTGTCTTCTGTGTCTCCAATGAAAGTATGTATAGTGTCTTATGCTAGAAACTTTTAACCAATTATGTTGTAGCATGATAGTATGCAAAGAGTATAAAAGAAACACTTGAGAACAATAAACAGCTTCCTGATCACCTTATACCTGGACTATGTCTGATATCTGTGTCACTTTGGCCGTTCCAACTTTAACAGTGACATAAAGTAGTTTTGCAGGGAGTATTAGGATAGCAATCTAAGCCTTAAAATAGAAAGGCATACCCAAGGGAACACCTTTCTCAACGGTGAAAAGCAACTTTTAATTAAAGAGAGAGAGGGCAAGAACTAGCAACTCTCTCCTTTAATACATCAACACATGGAGTATGTGCAATATGGATAACAAAGCTCTTCCAGGGACACTTTCAGGGTTGACCAATTCCAAATTAAATGCACCTTAAAATTACCAAAGCAATTTTTGGTGCGTTGTCCCCTTCCCACATGACATGGCTGCTTCTTTCCTTGGTAGCATAGGGAAAGCACAAGCTCTGCTTGGAGAAGGATGGAGCCAGAGCAAAATGCCCAGGAACTGTGTAGGGCCACAGCTCTCCTTTGTACAGAGGTGCTTGTGCATGCCCAAACTCATTTCTATCTAACATGTAGATCAGGTATATCTATGGGCCATAAAAAAGTGGCAATTTCTACCCAAACAGAAAGTGCAAAGGGTGCGAGATGGGTACTAACACAAATCCATTGGATAACATTGGTGGAAAAAAGGATTCACAAAATTTTAAATCCTTGATGACATCCACTTTGTGAACAATTTAACATCCAGTCCTATTGTTTTCCAGTACCAGCTTATGTTCTTTCAGAGATGTGTGTGTCCCGAGGGGCTAGGCTTGGTGCTCTTCCAGGAACTCCAGCACAAAAAAAGTGACTTTTGGCCTTTTCTGTCCACTCTAGGCAGCCCATAGCATTTGCTGCCTTAAATCTTGCACACTGGGCTTCCACCTCCATCAGCTTTCCTGCCTGCCACTGCCACTATGTTTGGCTCTGTCCAACCTAGGACCTTGAGGTGAGAGCAGCTTCTCATCACAGACGAGCTCTTCAGCATCTTGGGAAAGGAAGTTTTCAGCTACACTTGGCATTTCTGATCTCAGTGTTGGCTGCTGCCCAGCCTGCTCAAATGGTTTGCACCATTGGCAGTAGGAAAACTTTTATATAAGGGAACATAAATCAGCTTCAAAAGTGCTTTAACTGTCATAAAACCTCTTGATGGGTAGCATTTAAGATCCCAAATGCCTATGTCAATTTTATGGGTTGTTTTTCTTAAATATTGAAAGCTAGAACGTTCTTTTTTATTTACATTTTATTACTTTATACCAGTATGAGGGAACATTTTTTGTTAAACTTAGCTTATGTTCATTAACTGTCATTTCTTGACTTTCACAGTTTTTTGTGAGATTCAGAATTCCCCTTCCCTCTGCAGAGTTGTAGCTGCTGGCAGGAATGCTTGTGGTGTGCTCAAGCCTGAAAAGCTGCCAGGTCCCGGAAATCTAGAGTTAAAGCTGATAACTTCTGTTACTTTAAATGCATTTAAACAGGTGGTATGGGTGCCTGGAGATCTGTAGCTAATCCACTTCTGCATTTCTAAGGTCCTTTCCACAAAGGTGAATATCTGAAGTTTGAAGCAGGCAGTGGGTGACCATCAGCCCTTATTTAGGCAAGGAGAAGAGGCTGGTGGAGCCAAGACTTGGGTAGGGGACGTCAGAGGAGGAGGACAAGGTTACAGATCAAAGAGTGTTCTCACTAAAGCATTCTGCTCTTGCTAATACAAGCGGATAACAATTCTGAGTGAAAAGTAGACCTTTTTGCTTTGGGGAGATGAAAAGAAATTCCCAAGTTATTATGTGAATAAGATCATATCAACAACTTGGCTTTTGCAGAAATTCACCATTTCTGCAGTAAGATAGCTGAGGAAACATACCTGGGACCACAAATTGACTGTCCTTCATCTCCCTTTCCAGTTATGATATCTGCAGGCTTGATAAAAGTAATCATCAGAGACCAGGTTTATCACAGACATTTATCACAAGGTTGTCAGTGAGCAGCTTAGCTGAGGTCAGAAACGTGGGGTGCCCATCAGCCTGGGAGAACAACTGCATCCATCTTTCTGTTTCACTACTGAAATTTTAACAGACCTTTGGGAAGAGCTCTGCTTCCATCCCAAGAGGCTCTCTATATGAACCACTACATGCAGTGCATTTAATTGCTGCCCCTCTTAGAATGTTCAGCATCTCCTGCTGGGAGAGCTCTGGCAGTGGCAGCACTCAGCCGAGGAAGGAGTGCTCTGAAGAAGGACATCTGTCAGGGTGAGTAGGGTTAGAAGAAGGAAGGATAAAGCTGCAGCTGTGATTCTGTGTTGAGTTAAGGCCACTCGCTTGTCTGAGAAAGGAGATTTGATAAGACACTCATGATAAGGCCACTTGAGATCTCCTCATCCCCAGCAGTTGGCCATCAATGAAGCACATCACCAGGGAGACATATGCTCACACCTCACCTCTGAGTTCCAGCATTTTAGAGAGACACCAAAGCCTCCAGGAATTAATTACACACTTGGTGAAGAAGCAGTCATAATATCCACCACGGGTCAAGTGGCCTGTGATATTTTTATGCCTTTCCTACTTCTAAAACCACATATCCTGCCAACTGGAATGCACTGGGCAGCAGCTTTCAGTGAGGTGTGCTCTAAAAGTCTGGATCCTGCTGCTTGGGAAATTATCATATCAAGAGTCATCTGGGTGTCACTTGGAGGGTAGCTCAGACTGACCAGGGAAAGCACCCGAAGAGCCCCATTCTGCCTTGAGGGTCTCTGAGACTGTTAAATATATTGGGGTGTAAAAGCTCACTTTCAAAATCAGTGGGTGGCACCGAGCTGGGAGAGGCTGCAGCCCCAGAGACAGGACACAAACAACCTAAGGATGCAAGAGTTACCTTCTTTGTCTCCTATAAATATTCATGTCATGCAAATTCTACTAAAGGATCTGCAAACTTGCTTGGAAACTTCAGCTTCAGAGCCAATATTTTCAAGGTAAGAAAAAAAAGTGCTTAAAAGCAGTTTAATACCCTCCCTTACCCTGTCCTATCACAGCTTGTACTTCCCTCATGAACTTCAACCTAAGCCACCTTCTAAGCCAGTTATTGCTCTGCACCCCTCATGCCTTTGGTGTAATTCCCAACACTTGCAGTAGTACATGCAAATGGCTTTAAATCCCTGTTTGCAGATGTAGTGGGTGTCTGTTTTTTCTCTGAAGGGCTTCTTCACAAATATTGAATTATACTGGTACTGCCCCCATCCCTTCCTGCCGTGTGAGACAAATATAAGCAAGGAGATATTCAAAGATGTTGCTGAGCATCACCAACTGCATTTTTGCATGTACAGGGAGTCACAGTCCTTTACTGTCCAGGAGACTGGGCTCAGGGCCTTGAGGCAAGGGAGTGGCTCGGTGAAGGCTGCAGGGTGAATGTTTCCAGTCCTTGTTGCTTGTACTATTGCCTCAGGAGCACACTGCTATTTAGATATGGGACCCCCCTGTCCATCAACTTAGTCTCAACTCCATGTGGGCTGTAGCACACAAGCGCAACAAGCTGTGGCCTAAAGCCAGCCGGGCTGGCCTTAAAGCATAAAGCGAAGAAGTGCCTCTGTTCATCGCATGGTCCCTGTTTCTATTGTTGGGATGGTGACTGGAAAAAAATGGAAAAAAAAGCCAAGAGACACACACTTCTGCAGCAATCGGCTGGGGAATGAGCCTGGCAGATAAACTCTTACAGGCAGGGAGGGCAGAAAGGTCAGGGTTGTGCACCCTGCGGTGGGCTGCATGTTGTGCCTCTGCCACAGAGCTGAGCTTCCCAGGGAAAGCGTCCAAAACCCCATGAGGTTTGCAGCTTCTTGCTTTCTCATTTGAACTGCCAGAGCTACGTTCAGGGCTGAGCTGCGATGCACGTGTCATCTTGTACAGCATTGCACAGCTGTAACATTTCTTGGGAGATGTAGGAATAAGGAGGTAAGGATGCTGCAGTGCAGACCCCTGCCCCAGGCAGCAGCAAGCCAGGAGTCCATAAAGCCTCAGTTCTGGTGCCTGCACCTGGCAGTGCCAGAGGAAAACAGAAACACAAAATTCAGAATATTTTCTTCCCAGGAGCTGCTGCCAGACACAGGCATTGCTCTGCTTATTTACTTCCAGTCCACACAGCTCCTGCTGCTCCCAACCTGATTCTAGGGCTGAAGCCCAGGGTAAACTTCTGCCATGTGCTTGGCCACATAGAAAACTGAGTCCCGAAGGAGCCCCATCACTATCACTGCCACAGGCACCGGCTGTGGGCCCATGGCGCTCTGGCCACCAAGAGTTTGAGTCTGTCAACAGTCTGGCCCCACAGCAACACCAGACACCAACACACACACCCCACCCCGCATTTCTAATCACTCCCCAAGCCTAACATAAGCAGGTTTAAACCCTATCAGAGATTGGGAAATGCTCCAATTTCTGTTTTCTCCTGAAGGAAGGAAAACAAGGTTACACAGAAAGCATGTGGCAGAGCAGAGGACTGAAGCCAGCTCTTTCCAGAGCTCATGAGAGATCTCTCAGTACGGGATCGTTCAAAAGAAAGGATGAAGAGCCTGTTGCTAATGGTATCTAAGAGCAAACGCTCAGCAAGAAGTGGTAAGAAAAAGCAAACAAGAACACTGCTTCGCCGTTACTCTCCCAGCCACCAGTGAGCCTCTGCTCAAGGATTTCCCGGTATCTTTGTGTTTAATTGGCCTTGGTGTCTCTTTTTATGTGAATTTCTTTGCTTTTCAGACAAATGTAAAAATCTGGCATCCACACATTTCTGTGGCAAGGAGATTTACAGCTTAATTACACCTTGTGTAAAGTGTGTGTCTCCTTGTGACGCAGAAACTCCTACCCACAGCTGTATTTGCTGGGCAATGCTGAGACATCATTCCTGCCAGCAGCCCAGGCAGAGCGCGACAGTGCGTGGATGGAGCAGTTCCAGAGGGGTCGCAGCTCCCACAGCAAAGCTTTGTGCCACCACGGCAGGTTTGCTCTCTTTAGACTCATGCAGCACATGCAAAAGCTGCTTTGTGGGACAGTTGTAGGCTCAACTTGGGTTTCTGTCAGCATGGCTGGGCCAGGTCACTTTTCATCTCTGATACAGATTAATACAACTGAAGTTTATTGGGCCTTTTGTAACATCTCTTTTCTCCTTTCGCACTACAAAATGTAAGTGTTAGAACCAGAGCAATCCACTGAATGTTATTTAAAAAAAACCCTGAGACTGATGTCCGCATTTTGTAAATGTGCTTGAATTTACACACAAATTCTGTTCCTGAAATTTCATTCTGCACATACATATGACTGGTTCCTGTTAATCTTTCTTCTTTGAAAAAAAAAGAAAAGCTTTTTTGCTTTCACTGATAATTTCTAGGCATGGAAATTCTTACTGTCATTGTGGACAAGAAAGGGGATTAACTATAAGCATACTGCTAATAGTCAACTGACAGTCAAAGTCAAAAAGAAAAGCAACAATCAGCCTAACGAGCATAACTTTTTTGCTTAACAGGACTGTTTTCTGAAAATTTATGATGGGCTTTTTTAAGAAAAAGAAAGAGCAAGCCAAAGCCACCAATTACTTGCTGTCTCTATCTGTTCTGGTTTTTATTTCTCTCCTTTTCTCATCACTTTGTAATTCAGGTACATTAAATTCCATGCAACAGGTTGCCAATTATGAAAATGATATTTATTAAAATCTCGAACTGGATGACTAATATTAATTTCGGACTCTTTCTATTACTGTTTATGACAACATGATACTGTTCTGCAAGCCTGTTCATACTATGTAGATGAACATAAATGAGGTGAGTTTGCTGGTGCTGCTCTGCTTACCAGCTGTGGCAGACATACCATGGTGCATTTAGTTTGGAGAGGAAAACAATTGCCACGAAAGAAAATATGGAAAACATGAGAGACTGTACAGTGATACTGAAAACCTCTCAAAGGTCATGCAGGTCACACAGCTAATGATCTTGGAAACAGAATTACAGAATCACCAGTGCAGAGCAGAGCAGGACAATCACCTCCCTCGACCAGCTGGCAATGCTTTGCCTGATGCCCCGCAGGGCACGGTTGGCCCTCCTGGCTGCCAGGATACTGCTGAATCATATTCAACTTGTCATCAACCAGGACCCCCCGGTCCCTTTCCATGGCACTGCTTTCCAGGCTCTCATTCCCCAGTCTGTACAAACATCCAGGGTTGCCCCATACCAGCTGCAGAATCTGGCACTTTTCCTTGTTGAACTTCATATGGTTGGTGATTGCCCAGTCCTCTAATTTGTCGAGGTCTCTCTGCAGGGCCTCCCTGCCTTCAAGGGAGTCAACAGCTCCTCCCAGTTTTGTATCATCATTTGAAGTCCTTTGAAAAGCGCACACATGGCCTGACACAAGACCCAAAAGTTTTGCTTCTGTGTGATTCTCAGAGGGTTTCCTCACTCTAAACCTCTCCACCTGCTGTGGCTGCAGCTATTTCAGTTCCTTTCAGTCCAAAATAGCATCTGAAAGGGACTGAGAAACAGAACAGAAAAGCAGAGTAAGTTGATTAAAAAAGAATTTTGACGGAGATCCCCCACATGAAGATACTAAAGGGGAGCTGCTAGGGGGAACCTGGAGACATCTTGATGAAGGGCAAGTGAAATCACAGAATCACAGGATGGCTGTGGGCATCCGATCCAACCTTCCAGCTCAAGCAGGGTGATCATAGAGCACATGACACAGGATTGCATCCAGATGGTTTTCAGATAAGTTTCTCCAGTGAGGGAGACTCCACAGCTTCTCTGGGCAATCTGTTCAGTGTGTGATCACCTGCACAGTAAAGAAATTCTTCGTCATGTTCAGGTGGAACTTCCTGTGCATCAGTTTCTGCCTGTTACCTCTTGTCTTATTGCTTGGCACAACCAAGCAGAGCCTGGCTCTGTTGGTACCCTCCCTTTGGATACTTACATACAAACGACTGCAGCATTGCCTTGCTAAAAGCTGCATAAAGAATAACTCTGTGCTTGTTAAAGACACAAATGCCAAATAACTTCCCAGCAAATACCTGGAGAGGAAACACTGTACAGCCTATCTGAAGAAGCTGCTGAACTGCAACAATGTGATGTGATGACTAGTGGGATGGCCACCAGCACTGTTCCAGGCCCTTTGGCTGCCACCAGTCATTTCTGAGGCATACTATGCACAGAAATCACAGCTGTTAGATCACCCAGCAGTCAAATTAAACATCAAAGGAGACTTCTACAGAGGGCTTCCTACTGCCAGGAAACAAGGGACAGATTCAGCTCCAGAAAGAAGGAAGACGTCTATGAGCTTCATCTTCCAGGTGAAAGGAAGAAAGTGACACCACTTTATCAAGAAATTCAAAGCAAGGCCATTGACGATGACAGTATACTAAATGGGATGTCCACAACACCCTGAAGCTCTCCAGGTGACTGCTGTAATAGCCACGAGGCATGTTACTCTCAAGGGCAAGGAGGATCCAGTGGTTTGACGGGAAGACCCATGAACATGTAAGAGTCGGTCCCCTCAGGGAAGGCGCAGACAGTAGGATGTAGTTGCAGGTGTCAGAAGAACTTGAAGGACAGGGTAGGGAGTTTGCTAACTGAAACAAAACTCTGCTTCTTGCTATTCCAAAGATACTTTCAATTGGGTAGGATTAAAATATTACTCAGAAATGAGCAGCAAGTGTAGTACAGTGAGATGCTGGTTCACCTAGAAGATGCCCGGATGGTTTTTTCCATTTGGAAGAATTTCTTGGGAAAAATATGAACAGTCATCCCTCTGTTGTGGAAAGCCATTTATTGTTCGCCATGTTTTACAGAGGATCTGAAAAGGGACAGAACACAGAGAACTGCCATAGCTCGCAGGATTGCGGCTCTGCAAGAAACAGACTCTTTAATGTCTCTAATGAATAGATAAAAGAGGTCTTAAAATCGTAGCTATGGAGAGTATGGCTTTATCTCTTCTTCTGCCCTTAGAGAGAACCTGCAGTGCAGTAGGGCTGGGAAAAAGCCTGCATGGCCAGACTTCTGACAATGTGGAGATAAGCATACACAGGAAGCACCCTTGACCACTCCCAGCCTCCGGGGTACTTAACGCCTGCTGTGCAAACCAGCCTCCTCCCAGCCACTCCCAAGTCAGACTCAGGTCCTCCTGAATAAGGATACTTACAAGTCAAGGAGGCAGTGTGCTGCAGAGGTGGAAGACAGGAAAGATAGCAAGCAGGCTGTTGTGCTCACACAGGCACTGGGTCAGTGATTTGGAATGAATTCCATACTAACTCTCAGTTAAGGTGAAGTGGGAAAAGACTGAAAAAAACCACATCCCAGCATACCAGGATAGATCTTAGCAAACCATGACCTTCGTCACAATGACTAAGCAGCTACAATAGTAAAACAAGTCTTTCACAATAAAGAGATGCAAGCAAAACGCTTTTCCTGAACAACGGGCAAGATCTATATCCAGGCTCAATGTCCGTAACTTTAACCTGTGAATAGGTGTTCAGTTGGAAAGTTTGTGGTGGGGTAGGGAGTCATCTCCTTCCTCTTAGATACTAAGAGGTAATTGCTGCACAACCCCTAGTAGTGCTTTTTTTTTAGTCCCCCTGAGCAGAAGGGAGAGCATAAACCAAATATTTAAATGTATTAAATTTAAAGTATTTAAATGACCCTTGAAAAGTTACACCTGCCAGGATGAAGCTTTTCCTATTGGTAGGATAATTTGCTTTCACAGCTCATATGAAAGAAATACTCTGATATTCATCTATCAAAAATGAGATGCTGGGCTGGAAGGCCAAGCAAGGGAAATACACATACAGTAGTCAGATATGCACTTCACAGTGTGTTTGCTCTACCTCTTGAGGATTTGTTTCAACTTGCACCTTGAGAACCAACCAAAATTTTCAGAAAAAGCCAAAATCTGGTAAATTTGCATTTGAAAAACAAAAAAAAAAACCCAAAAAGTAAAATTGTATTAGAGTTCAACTACACTGGGCAACTTACACATGCAGCAGAAGACACACAATGGTGTTAATTGCTCAAAAAATGGATCTCTCTGTAGTCCTCTTACCGTCCTGCATTTATGTCTAAAACCCTAATCTCATTTTAACATACTAAGCAGCAAGATGGATTTCTTAAGATTAGTCTATATGAGAAAAGGAGAAGTTAAGGTGTTTACTGGCTAAGGAGTAAAGATATTTAGAGAGCTGCTTTGAAACTTAGTTTTTAAGGGATGCCTTTTTTCTCCTGAATAGTTCTCAGTAGCAGCTGGACTGAAAAAC